GGAGGATCTGAGGGCTGGAACGCAGGGAGAGGATGACACCTGTTTCAAAGACACTCCGCACATGACGTGCGGTCCGTGAACTGCCCCAAGTGTCACCCACGCCTGGCCCCCTCTTACCAGTGTTTGATAACGTCAAACTTGGTAGGGGGATACCACCCTCGGTTTGGCAGTTCTTGGGGGAGGGTGAGTTCATCCCTATACACCGAGCGTTGCGGGATGGTCGGCTCCTTGCGCTAGATGTGCTACTAGAGGGGAAACCATGAACCCCTTTGATCACTCTCCGGTATATCCAATTACAGAACTATGTTCGTACGCTACCACAGAAGGATAAACTACACAGGAGCCTCACGTGGTTTGAGGAGCTTTGCATGCGGGGTACAGTACTGGAGAAGGCGATTTCAATACTCTACCAATACCGTCTCATGGGGAACAACACTGCGAACAACCAGTTCCAAAGGCAATGGGAGGAACTGATTGGCAAAGCTTTCTCGACTGCGCAGTGGGATAAGTTGCTATTGTGGCAACACAAGAGCTCCATAAGATCACATCATCAGGAAGTTAACTATAAGATACTATAACTCTTGTACAGGCCGCCGGCCAGTCTCTATTGGATCTTCCCTACTGTACCGTCCACATGCTGGAGATGTCAGGCTGCTAGAGGCACAATGTGGCATATATGGTGGGAGTGCGCGGTCATAGTTCCCTACTGGTACACAGTAAGGAATGAGGTGACTGATATCCTTGGGGATTCGATTTAGTGGTCAGAGGAACTGGCCTTGCTACACTTGTCTTCCACATCTATCCCGAGTTACAAGAAATCTATCTCACGCCATTTGCTTAATGCGGCTAAGGCCCTGATCCATGTCTTCTGGAAAAAACGAAGATTCCCACTAAGGAAGCCTGGCTACGAAGGGTGGAGACACAGGCTGCTGAGGCGATTCATGCCTCTCTGCTCGGGACGGGTCACAGACACGCCGAGGCCTGGCAACCATGGTTTGTATATATGGCGAGACTTATTATGCTTACACGAGCGGATGATGTGGGAGGTGCCTGGGGACGCTCGCTCGCCCGCCCCGACAGGGGAACCTCTCTTGCTTCTTTTCTTCTTCCACTATCTCTTTTCACGTTGCTCTTCCTCCGATTTTATTCTCATGAACAGAGCAGGAAAGGATTGACACTCCCTCCTAATACTTATATCAGCCGAATTGGCAAAGGGAAAAACCTGGCAGGTGCTACTGCTGGGGTGCGCTTGGCGCACCATGCTTCACTATGTACATTGTACAAACCAGAGTTGCGTACAAAACACGTATAACGACTATGAACCGGGAATAACTTGTTAGCCACTGCGGTTTACTTAATCCTAAGGTTGTGGTGGGAAAACGATACTAGATTGTCCAGGAAGCCACATGTGTAACATGTAATAACCGTTTTAGGAAGGATACTTTGTTGCGATGCATGCACTGTTTCATATGTTAGTACATATTTCAGATTTTGAATGATTACACAGATGGGAGACATGGGGACCTGTAGGGGACTTTCTCTGCTCCTTTTCTCTTTACTTATCTCTCGCATCTTCCCTTCTTCGCTGTCCTCTCTCGCAGACCTTAATACTTTGACATGGAGGTGGGAACGACTGACTTTCACAACTGATACAGGAAACCTTATGTAACCACAGGCAGATATAGACATAAGCTATCATTGGGGAAGGCAATATAATTTTACTTAGAATGAAACATGAGTACTACCTCCTGCAATTATACAACACCTGATAACGCAAATGGATCCGTACAAGCTGTATATTTGTGTAATATCTGCATGTATGTGGAGGGGCCTGCGTGCCTACAACTCTTCTGTCTCAAGATCTACAAAAACTCTATAAAAAGAGATGTCACAAAAAAAAAATCTAACATGAACACACTCTTCAGAGGTTTTGTAAACAAAACAGTTGTTTCGGTAAGTTTGTAGGGATGCTATACTACAGTTAGAGGAGTTATTGCTAGGGCTTCACTAAAGTAAAGTGATTTTGGTGCTTTGTATAGTCCCTATACAAAAACATCTAAAACATTTAGAATATTTTATATAAATACTAGTGATAAAAGGAGAGCACTCCAGGGCAGGTCTTCGCTTGGAATTGCAAAGCCAGCTAAGCCATAGTTTTCAGCATCAAATATACAATTCTTAAATAAACACTATATTCACCAGAATCACTATAGATCACTAGAGCTTAATGCACTTGTTCTAATGTCTATACCCTGTCCCTGCATGCTTTTCAATGTAAACACTGCCTTTTGCAGACAAAAGACAATGTTTACATTGCTGCCTCGTAACACCTCTAGTCAGGGCCCGACTGGGAACTAAAAGCAGCCCTGAAAAAATTCTTTACCAGACCAATAATGCATTGCCCCACCCAAAAATACATCTTTTCTTGTGTTTTAACCCCCTTTTGAATTTCTTGCCATTTTTCGTGTTTCTTATTCCCTCTTTTGATTTTTTTTTACCTTGTTTAGTGTATCTTGTCTCCAATTTTTCTCCTTTATGTTTCTTACAACCCCCCCTCCTTGTGTGTCTTACTTCATCTCAGCCCGTGTGTCTCTTTTTACCCTTCTCCAGCCCTCAGTATGCCCCATCCCCCCAGTCCCTTGTGTGTATCTGTCCCCCCAACAAACCTTTGTGTCTCTTTGTCTGCCCCCGGTGTGTGCATCTTTCTCCCCCAGCCTAGCTTTGTCCCCACAAACATTTTGTGTCACTTTGTCCCCTTCCCTTCTGTGTGTCTGTTTGTCTCCCCCCAGTCCCTCTTTCTCTCACTTACTGCTCCTCTGTGTCTCTCTTCCGGCTACTTGAGGTGCTTCCTGGATGATGGTGGTGAAAGTTTCCCATAGAGAAGCACTGATTCAGTGCATCTCTATGAGCAGATGTTGATTGGTGGAGCAAAGCAGTTTGCTAGGCATGCGCAATAGTCTCAATGATTTCCTAAGGGAAAGCATTTTATTGGCAGAGATAGTCAAGACTAATTATGAGTCATGGAGGTGGGGCCAGCCGCAGCTAGACCAGCACAGCGTGTGAAAAAGGAGGAGTAAAAAAACCCTCTACCACATGACTGGAGGGGGGGGGGATAACACCTAAACAGACACACTCACTGACAAACACATTCACTGATTTGACACACACATTTTCACTCACACACTCAAAGTATTACTCTGTTTTATTGAAATTTGTCCACCAAGTCTCCATACCTTTGGGAGAGGTGGAGTTACCTTTCCCTGCGGTCCAGTGGGGCTACTTCGACCATCTTCTTGCTCTGCTGTCTAGAGCACGGTTTAGTGATGCCGGGACCAGAGTGATGTCGTATTTCAGATCCCGGCTTCAATAAAGGTGGCGCAAAGAAGCAGAGCAAGAAGATTACAGTTCCCTCGCTGCCTCCAGTCTCCCTGAATCGGTCGTAGCAGGGACTGAACGGACTCCTAAAATCCCAAGCGCCAGGACAAGTTACCTAGTAGTCATGGCGCCCTGGAGTGCTCTTTCTGCTTAATTAAGGGAAAGAAGCAAATTAGTAGAGCCGTTCAATGTCCAATATAAACATTTAGCAGGACAATGCTAAACAGATATGCTATTATTTACTTCTCACTTGGTCTGTGAATAAAATCAACATGGTGGGACGGTCATCTAGCCAACCATCTTTCTTTTTTGACACCATGAGTAGAATTCAAAATCATGGCACAAAGCATGCACAGCCATTGCATGTTTTGGTTGAGCCTTATGAGATTCACATACATGAGAGATTGCTAAGAAATCCAAGTAAATAAGAGATCCTGCCCATAACCTTTGGAGACATAGGTAGAGAGCACACACTGCAACTCAATGAAGGCAAGTTGTAACAAAGAATTTAATGCAGTGTGTGAAGGGTTACAATACTACTAAAGATGCAGTGCAGATAAAAAAAAAAAAAAAACCCACTAACTAGACCAGCTGTCCAATGATGTCCATGTAAAACACCAGGTAAGAGTCACAAACATAATGCAAATGTACTCAAGAGGAAAACCATTCATTTCAGCACATCTAGCCAATGTCTCATGTAGACTTAAAAATTCTACTTTGAGTGGTTCCAGCGAGCTACTTTGTTTTATCTTCAGTTCCGTCACACTGTTATATGTTATAATGTGTTCTTAGTTTAAAAGCTCCCTCTCCAAAAGGCTTTTAGGAGAGACTCCTGGTTTTCAATATTGCTCTGCAGATACCTGCACTTCAATAGAGACATGCAGGACCTGTTTTGCACCCCTCCCAGCCCCCTCAGAACACTCTACTCTGGTTATCTGTATTTAGCCATATTTGCATGTCCCTAAAGTGTCTATCTTTGGACAGTTTATATTGCAAGAACATTAATATGTTGATAAATCCATCTAGTTTTTATGTAAAATAAATAATTAACTCCAAATAGTTATTCCAGGTAGAGTGCTTTATTTTAATAGTAGCTCAAGGTCTAATAAAAGCTACTCCATAAATATAAGTAACTTATAACGTTTCGGTGGTATTTGTGGGGTTCTTCATTCTAGGAGCCTCCAGTAGAGGTCTGCACAGCATCTTAACTGTTCCTAGAAATGCATAAAATGATCTGTAGAATTAACCCATTTCCGGTCACTTCCCTATCTGTATTGATTATTCTTTCTAATCATACTCTACCACTTTCCCATTTCTATTTTTTGCAAAATGACCAGCCCAACGTACGATAGAAAGTGGGTTATTATTGGCTTACTTTATCATAACCTATGCATGATGACCAATATTTTTCCCTTAAACATATTTAAGATGCTCTCCAGACCAGCATATTACATGAAAGGTTTTTTGTTTGCAATAAAAAGGCAGAAGAGGTTATAGAACATACCAGCTCCATGTGGAGAATAACGTAAAGACAAAAAACAAAACAAAAAAAAATTCACAGTGACCATTTATTCCACCTTTAAATAGGGACAAATTATACAATTTTTGATACAAATTTAGGAGTTCTTGCTCTCAATTCACACACATTTGAAAAGACTAAAAAGCCAATCTACATCATAGTAAAACACACACACACACACCCCAAGTTTTTAACAGTTATAAACTAGCATGTAAAGGTCACCTTTAACAAAATTAGTTCCAATAAATGAAACACTGATGCAAATTTCAAATATTGCATCATATCCCAAACTTTTGTACTCCAATACATTACAGAGCAAAAAAAATAAAAATAATGGTCTAAAAATCAATAATTTGAATTTACACTAACGGAAATATTTAAAGGTTTAGAGTTTTAAAATAAAATTTTACAATTGGAAAGCAAACACGTTTTACAGCTCAATACAAGATGAAATTCATAATCTAGTTTTAAGCAATGATCTAAAGAAGCCGATCTTGAGCGGTCTGTATTGTCTTCAAATATGTCAGCCTACACAGGGATTTGTTCAGGTCATGAATTAAGAATTGCTTGTAAAAAGAAATTATACTTTCAAATTTCATTCTGTCTGTTCTTTGGTACTAGGATTTGTTGTCCATAAGGATTTGGAGGGGAAGGGTTTTGTTAAGTTGGGCTGTGGTTATTTCACTTTTTTGGTGTATTCTCCAGAAACTTTGTTTCTTAAAATATTTTCCCCTACTTAAAACCACTTAGCCATCAGTACCAACTCAATAGGTTACCAATTATCTCACTTCATTATATATCGATTAGTTATATTATATTACAAATTATCTAACAGTGTTATCCACTAGGGAGTGAATTCAAAATTAAATGTCAAACTTACAGTTAAAATAGTGAAAACTAAAAAAAATAAAATTAAAATAAATAAATAATAATAAAAAAAAAAACAGTCTCTAGGCAAGCTCTTCTTTTAGTTCAGCTACTCTGGCCCTACAGTAGAAATCCTCTTTAGTAAATAAATCCCTGTTAGTTAAATAGTTACTCTAGCACATTTCAGCAATTAGACCAACAGATCTAGATAGCACAGGCCCTTCCACTACAATACCCAACTTTAATTTCCCAGCATGCTCCTCTCCTTTTCCAGAGCACAGAGAACTAGAAATATCAATATGCCCATGATGACAACTTGGTCATGTCCAGTTGTACCAGTGAGAATAGTGGACCAGTGTGGAAACACAAATGGCTCTCTGGCATGTCCAGTTGCAGTCTTTTGCGCCTTCTAATGGCGTTTTAATGACTGGTAAACAGGTATCAAATGCATACAAGGTTATGAATATATACACTAACAAAAACAAGAAGACCCATTTTCACTATTGATTTACCCATTTGAACAACAGGAAATTATACTTCATTTATACAGTCATCCTCCTGGATAAGCATAAACCTTACTTCAGTCCTTTCCAAGTTAATGAATGTATCTCTTGTTTTTAAACTACAAATACATAAGTTGTCATAGATTTAGATCCCCTTCACACAACCTTTTCTTCGTGGTAAACATAAGCAATCAAAAAAACTACTCCTCAAAAGCTTACATGATCGTATTAGAATGCTGACAATTGGTGCTTCTATACGGTAGATTAATACCTTGTTCACATTACACCATGATTACTATAATTTTATAATGAATTGATCACAGTCTGCCAGCACTCAGTTTAGCCCATGTCTTGAAGGGATTTAAAAAAAAAAATTAAAAAGGCCCACAAAAGAAAAGATCTGGTATCTCAGCAATGCTGTACTAGAGCATAGTTATGTGAGAAATTCTTGTTAGGTTAATCAAGCTGGAAGATGTTTGCAGTTGTGCCTGGTCTTTCTAGTGCCATCATCAGTTGGCCTTTGATTTTGAATACGCGATAATGCAACAGTTTTTTCTAAATCCAATTCTGCATAAGGTTTGCATCGTAGACTTGTGGCCCCTTGAAAGAAAGGGTCAGGGCTTACAGGTGTCTGTGGATTGTCTGAGTCACAGCTACTCTCAACATCAATATAGTTTAGCTTTGTCATTTCATGGGGATGTGATGTCATATCAAAGTTGAAATATGTAGCTGTGCAGTTCTCACTGTTTTGAACCAAAGAAAGTCTGTTCAGATAAGAAGAACGTAATATGTTTATTTCAGTTGCTGAAGACACCCTAAGTTCCAAACTGTGCTTTTCTTCAGACACTGAAGGACTTGATGGCCGGCTCTCCAAGCCTACTGCAGACAGTGTTGAAACACAATTTGTAGTCTGAGAGTCAGAGCTACTGTCATCCGAAATGATACTTCTTGACCCCTCACTATGAAGTGCACGGATATTCTCATAACCCATTCTTCTTATACAAGAGGATAACTTGTGATCATCAACATCGTAGTCTATGCACTCTAGGTGCCCAGTTTCTCTTTCCATTTGGTTTTTAAGTGCAAATAATGGTTTTTGATAGTTTCTGGGCTCTGGATACTCCATAGGAACCTCATAGTAACTGTGGGTAGAAGATGTTTGACTGATACCAGTATCCAAGGTGTTCCGATCCAGGGTTTTATGATACCTGTGCCTCCCTCTGTCTCCTTTAGAAGATGTAGGTGTGTAAAACTAAAAGAATATATAGACACAAATAAGAATTTACAATATGGAAGACAGGGTTTTGAGCAAATTAATAGAAAATATCCTCACTTGTTCTGATGGGTGTGTGGAAATACCATCAAAATCATGTGGGCGCTCACTCCCAACAGGTTCAGGTCTTTTTGAGACTGGGATAACAGGTGAAGAGCTTGGATAAAATGTGCAGGACTTGTATCTATAAGGTAAACCATGTTCATCATCTATGTAGATATAAAAAAGAATAAATTGGAGTTTTAACACTTTAAGCACTGTTAAAAACAAAAACCACATTAAACATCACACAAAGCTCTAACCTACAACAACTCTTCCCCATGCAAACATTTGCCTCTTTTATATAAAGCAATGTGTTTTCTTCCATAATTATTCTAAACTGTAAGAAAATACTCTTAAGAGATTAAATGCAAGTTAAATACCCAGAGAGTCATGGTAGCCTGGGTAAAACTAGTGTTCAATGGTTACTGTAACCCTTTTTCCTGTATGATATAGAGAAAATATATATTTTTTTTATATAAATCAGTGGTGCCTTATTTTGGTCCAATCAAATGCATTTGATTGGACCTTTTCCTGGCATAGAGCGCATGCAACATTCTGAGCAAAATGTGGGAGCCGGTGAAGGGAAAAGGATTTAAAAAACACAAAATGGGCAATGCAGGGTGACAGGAGGGACTGCTCGAAGGGAGTGAGGAGCAAGCTTCCCATTCATTCGTCCTGGGAGCAGATGACCACATAAGTTGTCCGCATACGGATGACAGATGTACATTTTGCACATAATTCACATTAGGCAGCCCAGAAAAGAGTTCTTTGCTGTACATGTCATGTGTGCCAGGGATGCAACTAACCCACAGCACAAAAGAACAAATATCTCAGTATGTGCAGCGTTTAAATTCTTCTACTACGATGACCATTTGTAAAAGCATAAGTGATCATTGTGGTTGGAGTAACTCTTTAAAAGGAGTATTTGGTACAAATGTGCCAAGTCAAGCACAAGACTGTTTGGTGACTAAATAATTAAAATAAGCAATGTGTAATAAAAGAGCTACTTTATTAATACTTGATATCACTGGTATCCAGAACTACAAGTTCTTAAATCGGTTTGTGTATATAGGAATTTATATAAAAAAAAAAGTTTTACAACAAAGAGCTTACATGTATGACTTTCCCAGTCTGTGTCAGAGATTATGCTTATCCGGTTTTTCTGCATTGAACTCTTTAACATGTGAAACAACTCCTCTGCACGGCTACAGCTAAAGCCAAATATTCCTATATTAACAAATAGAAAAACATTATTATGGCAAAACAATTCTCTCGTATTCCATGGTTTATTTTTTAAAAGGTATATTCCAGTCCCCCACAATGCATTAAATAATGAGATCTACTTTTTTTGAATGATTCTACAGGAAAAGTTGATGGGGTTGTAGACAGGCAATTTTATTGAATATGTGTGTAAGGGCAGGATATAGAAATATACAATGGAAGTAAATAAGGAGGTTCTGGAAACCACTAGGAGGTAAAGCTACATAGCCTGGCATACACAGTAAACAAAAATTTGCATTTTGGTTGGCCAAAAAAGTTTGTAAATAAAAAATAAATAATTTACCAAATAATAAAGCTACAGATAAGTAAAAAATAAAAAAAATAAATGTAAAAATAAACATGTCTCCTATATGTGTTTGCTCATGAATTTGATTACAGTTATCCTTTAAGGGAATAAAGGCAAAAGAGAAGATGTGTGAGTCACTAGGAATTTAAAGTAGTCAGGTGGTAGGAGCATTTTTTGTGGGAAGCCAGAAAAACCTTAACCCCTTAAGGACACATGACGGACATATTCCGTCAGGACTCCCTTTTATTCCAGAAGTTGTGTCCTTAAGGTGTTAAAAAGGAAAACTGTAGAGTCAGAATAACAAAGTTGTTCTCCTGGCACTATAGCTCACTTTAGTGCCCGCCTCCCTCCCAGTGGTGCAAAAGGACTTAAAAAATAAAAACCTTCCATAACTTACCCGAGTCCAGCGTCGCTGTTCCTTGGCGCTGGCGCAGAGTCCGCCACCGCTCCACCCACACCGACGTTAGCAACCTAATGCGTATACTCGGCAATGGCATGGGTAGGCTTGAATGTGCACGTGGCACTCATACGTCAGTGGCCTTGACTCCTCCATGACATTGCCGGGGGAGGAGAACTAAGCAGTGCCAAGGGAGTCTTGGTGCTGGAAAAAGGCAAGTATTAAAAAAAATAAAAAAAAATAAAAATTTTAAACATTTTTTTTTATTTTTTTATTTTTTTTATAAAGTTATGGTTTTAATCCTTTATATGCAAAAGGAGTGGACTTAATTCTGCTCTAGACAGGGACACTATAGCATTACCAATATCAATATGTGTTGCCAACACTATAGTATTCCTTAAATTCTGACTTCCAGAACTTTAGTGGGAAGTTACTCATTAATGGTCTCTGATGGAAAACACGGTCTGGAAAGTGCATAGAATTTCAGGAACCAGGTCTCTGAGTGTGTGATTATACAATTAATACAGGAGGAACCACAACCACCAAGATTGCCTGTAATAGATCTCAGTTTAACATGTAGTAATTCATTGCTCCAAAAATATTTTTCAGGGGGAGAGTAGGCTACAGGGTAGGGAATCGACCGTAAAGTAAAGTAGGGATCGACTGATATTAATTTTTTTAGAGCCGATAATCTGAACTTTCAGGCAGATAGCCGATAACTTACCGATATTCTGCACGTTTGCCATTTTGAAAAAAAACAAAACTATTTCTAAAGGTAAATGCACAAAATATACACGCCACATGTAGTGGATGCAGTGTGTTTAGACAGGGGAACTGTGTGTGTTTGTGTAGTGTGTACCTTTGTGTCACTATACCCCACTCCCTCTAGAATGTAACCTCATTGAGCAGGGCCCTCCACCTCTCTGTTCCTGTACGTCCAGTTGTCTGGTTTCAATTACATGTCTGTTAGTCCACCGCTACGGAATCTGATGGCACTATATAAATAATAAATGCAGTGTTTGTGTGGTGTGTGTGTATAGTGAATGTAGTGTGGTGCGTGTAACGTGCGTAAAGTGAATAAAGTGTGTATGTGTTTCTGTAGGTATGTAAATTGGGGGGAGGTGGCTTTAAAAAATTTATTTCTTTTTAATTCCCTCCCTGCTTGTTACCTGGCCAGGGAGGGGGGATATAGCATTCCCTGGTGGTCCAGTGGCATGGAAAGTACAGGGGTGGCCTGCATCAAGCGCTTACTTACCTTCCCAGCAGCTCCTTTCAGCTCCCCAATGTTAATCTTGCGGTAACCCGTGGCAACGCTCTGACAGCCGCGGGTCTCGCGAGGTTTACACAGGGAGCTACTTGGAAGGTAAGAGCTTGCTGCGGGCCCTCCAGGACCGCCGGGCTTGTCATGGGCCCAGCGGTCCTGGTATGTATTATCGGCAATATTAGTATCTCTATTGGCAGATACCGATATTGCCGAAAATACCGAATATCGGCCGATAATGTCAGCCAGAACGATAATCGGTCGATCCCTAGTGTAAAGGTTCCTCTTTGCGAGGCAAATGCTCTGGGCAATTGCCTGCCCTTGAGTTTAGCTCCACTGAGCTAGACCGTTCAGGAAGTGACAGGACCAGCTGCATGATCAACAGTCAGATTTCTATTAAAGTCTGTAAAACGACCCATAAAGGTGCCTTGGCTGGTGGTCCTCCAGGTGGATACAGATCGAAGCTGCTAAATTAACATTCAGAGAGCGATAGTTTGTGGTTTCTCAATATGAATACAATGTAAAGGTTTAAACACCTTGATATGGTATCAGTTGTCATTGTTACATATATTTCTTTCATGTTTGATATATGAAAACTTAAAGGATCACTATATGGTCAGGAACACAAACATGTATTCCTGACCCTATAGTGCTAAACCCACCATTTAGGTGGCTTTCCCCCTCTTAGCCCCCCCAATAAAAGTTTAAAACGCACCTTATTTCCAGCGCCACACGGGGCTGCCGGCGCTGGCTCCGCCCCCTTTGTGACATCAAAATGGCACATTTTTTAGCCAATCCAATGCGTTGCCATAGGGAAAGCACTGGATTGGCTAAAATAGGCAAGAGGCGGGCCAATCAGGACCTCCTCATAGAGATGTATTGAATCAATGCATCTGTGAGGAAAATTCAGCGTCTCCATGCAGAGCGTGGGGACGCTGAATGGCAGGGCTGCCTACTGTGCAGCACTGAGCCAGGAAGCACCTCCAGTGGCCATCTGAGTGGCCACTTGGAGGAGTTCCTAGGGGCAATGTAAACACTACCTTTTCTCTGAAAAGGCAGTGTTTACATGAAAATGCCTGAAGGGAGCTATTATACTTACCAGAACAACTACATTAAGCTGTAGTTGTTCTAGTGACTATAGGGGGGTGAGACAGGAAGAAAAAAAAAAAGAGGAAGAAGACACTTCACACAAACCACTTCAGCATAAATATTTCAATGTGAGGGGCACATTGGATTGAATCAGATAATCAGAAATGATGATCTCTGCCAGATCAGGAGCGGTGGTTGCAGCAAACCGGATGTGTTGGGGATATGAAGTAGGTCGTTCTAATTTTATTACTTCTGTTGGTCCCTTAAATCTACAAAGATAACACAACACTGACTTTAGGTATCCATGTTTTTATTCCTAACGTTAGAGTATTACTATAAGCCATGTGGCAAAGGCCATTCCGAGACCACTTTGAATTTCTGTGGATCCATATTTTTAAACAGTGAATGATAGAAAATACTCTAAAAAGGATATCAGAGACTGATGTATTTTTTTTAGATTACAGCATAGTCCATTCGAGTGAAATTGACAGAAGTGAGCTTTATGGGTAGCTACATTTGATGACTGTAGGAATTCTCTTAATCATTTATGAATTCCTGGAAGACAGCTGGAGCATTACACAGGGCAAAGGACACAGTAGTAAACTTGTAATGCCTACTTATGTTGCTGTATAGGCTCTGTCATGTCTATTCACGGAGGATTTTCTAATGAAATTGAAAGGCAGGGAACATATGATTGTCCCCTTGCCACTGCAAACAAGACAGGCACATTGCCATTGGAGGTCTTTGCAACATACAAAGAGATCCTGGAAAGTGACAGTCACTTTGAAAGCAATTTATCATGCATGCCCTTCCTTGACACAAACAATGCTTATCTCCAGCTGCTTATTACTTATTCAGTAGTTGTGGGTTCATCTTAAGAGTTTTTTTTATGGTTTTATTTGTATTATTTTAGCTAGACAATCCCAGGCATTAATCGCACCAAGATCCTCACCAAGCTGAGAAAGCTCCATGAGCAACAGTATTAAACTAGAGGTTCTTAAAACCTTGGGAGTCATTGGGTACACATGCTATGCAGGTAGTATTCATTTTTGCAATGGTTGAAACAGACCACATATTCATCATGACCCAGGCAACTACTCACATTATATGGCATTCTGTAGCAGCAATGCTTTCAGTAGAGTCTTTGAAAAACGAAAATTCTAAAACGCATGTCTGCCATATTGATTGTGTAGATCACATTAGGGTTCACACTTTCAAGTCCTTTGCTACTCACCAGGCCTAAAAGTTACTTGTCACTGCAAGCCTGGGTTTTTTTTTTTACTAACGAGGGCTGAATTTTCATTGGTCACTGGCTAGTGGACATGTGAAAACATGGAGTCCTGTATCTATATGTTTGTTGAAAAATAAGTCACTTAGATAATTTTAAAATGGTCAAAGGTAACGTCAGGCTATAATAATCTACGGGTAACTTGGTTTCCAACAGTTTATATCCTGTAAAGTGGAGGATTAAATTAGTCTCATAGCACTATTAAACATGGAATCATAGAGGTCAAGGTAATTTATGTCAGGTTGTGCAAGGACAGACTGGCATACAGTATACAACCTGTGTTGTGTTTTTTTTTTGTTTTTTTTTTTCCTCAAATGTACTGTTTAGTTGTTCAACAACATTAGATAATTTTCCCTTCAGCTAACTGGTAAAGTGTAATTACAGGAATGTTTTGTTCACCTATTCATAAGAACAGACAACTTAAACAATAGAAATTAACTATTGCCATTATCATGCCACCTTTTGTGATATATCCAGTCTGATGATGCACCATCTAACCTAAATCTCAGCTTGAAAAACTTTAGAAACCAAGCAACATGATTAATTCCTAAAAAAAATAAAAAAAAATAATAAAATACAAAATCAGATGTACCTTCTCCAGTCTGACACCTTTTACCACAGACAAAAGAAAAGAGGTTAGAATCGTATCCGTATTTCAACAAGCTGACGAAGGGCCACTTTACAAACCCTCCCTTTTCAAGATGAAAATCTAAGGAGGTGTCTGTGAGTTCCATAACTCCAGGGCATATCTTCTTACCGTCATCATTCACATTTATCACCTGGAGAGAAAGAAGAGAGGGGAAAAAAATGTTACAATGTAAAATAAGACAACGTGCCAATTATTTTCAAGACATACACATTATTTCATATCAATAGGGTGAATCTAAAACTTCACTACAAAACAAAGTGCTTTTTGCACAGTTAAAATCGTAATAAAAGGGCACAGGCGGTATACAAATTACATAAATATACAGTACATTTATTATACACTTAAAATAGGCAGATATCCAGCAGTAACCCCTCCCCCCCTCCCTCAATAAGAATTTCAAATAAATAGAAAAGAGGGGGAGAGACATCCAGGAGGGTGAGGCGGGCAAAAGAGAGGCATCCAGAAGGGTGAGGCAAAAGAGAGGCGCGGAGGGGGGAGCGGGCTCGCAATGAGGCGCCCAACCCAGGAGGGGGAGCAGGGGCGCGCAAGGAGGCGCCCAACCCAGGAGGGGGAGCAGCGGCGCGCAAGGAGGCGCCCAACCCAGGAGGGGGAGCAGCGGCGCGCAAGGAGGCGCCCAACCCAGGAGGGGGAACAGGGGCGCGCAAGGAGGCGCCCAACCCAGGAGGGGGAGCAGCGGCGCGCAAGGAGGCGCCCAACCCAGGAGGGGGAGCAGCGGCGCGCAAGGAGGCGCCCAACCCAGGAGGGGGAGCAGGGGCGCGCAAGGAGGCGCCCAACCCAGGAGGGGGAGCAGGGGCGCGCAAGGAGGCGCCCAACCCAGGAGGGGGAGCAGGGGCGCGCAAGGAGGCGCCCAACCCAGGAGGGGGAGCAGGGGCGCGCAAGGAGGCGCCCAACCCAGGAGGGGGAGCAGGGGCGCGCAAGGAGGCGCAAAACCCAGGAGGGGGAGCAGGGGCGCGCAAGGAGGCGCCCAACCCAGGAGGGGGAGCAGGGGCGCGCAAGGAGGCACCCAACCCAGGAGGGGGAGCAGGGGCGCGCAAGGAGGCACCCAACCCAGGAGGGGGAGCGGTCCTTGACGGGGGACACTCGTATGCTGTATACAAACTTATGCAATAAATAATCTTAAAAAACATTTTTATTTTTTTAAATTACATTTTAAAAAAGTGTGTGTCTCCCTGGGTTTGTGTCCAAATACAAGATCTGCTCCAGGTGCCAAATGCTCTAGGTAAGCCTCTGGAGAGCAGGTGATAGAAGCCGGGCTGACTGACCAGGTGCAGAGTCTGGGGTTATATTTTGTTTGCAATTTAATCATTTTGGACCTATTTGCACCATAACTGAAGTTATAGTGGTGCCTGGAATGGTTCAAGATTACAAAACACACATTAGCAATATATACGTTCGAATCAGCAAATACCAGTTTCAATCTAATTTAGCTCAACAATTACTGAAGGAGCAAATATCACACACAAACAAGATGACTGGATCCTGCTTTGCCAAGTTTACAGAAACTAATATTCTAGAAAATATATATTTTTTTACACAAAACACGAACATTTACCTTAAATCTCTTTTCAGCATTGTCAGTATCACATAACTTGATTTTGCTACCGAGGCAAAGTCCCATGGCTCCTAGAAGCAAATCACACCAAAAATGCTTTACTGTTGTGGTTTAATAGATCACCACTAATTAATAATTAAAGCAGTATTAAACAATGACAGAAAACAGCAAAGGGCCTTTGGGTAATGGGAGATCAGGTGCAGGGATTTTTGGCTACTACTAGTCTTCTGCCCCTTCTTTGTGCAGAACCCATAAAGACATTTGCCAAGTACCCAGAAAGGCTGAGTGAGAGCCACACACCCACATGGTGCCCTCACTTAGTGCAGTATGTGAGTGTCTGTTAGGGCTGTGTGTGGATACAAGCTATAGAGAGTGTCAGGGGGTACAGTATATGGCCTTTAATGGGAGCAGCAGTGGGGATGGCTGTGGTGGGGAATGGGAGTCCCATTTACCCTACACAGCCTACATATGCCGCTGCCCTTCTCACCCCCAAAGCTTGTCTCTCCACCAGCTCCCATTTCCCTTATTAAGAAAGAGCATACCTGGTGTGTGCTGTCTCTGCTATCCCTATCCTCTCCAGAATACTGCTGCTGCTGCTGCTGCACCTTACCCACTTAGCCCAGGTGCACTCTTAGCACAGGAAGTGATGTCACTTTCCATCCACCCAGGCCCCGCCTCTTCCTCTCACACACACACACACCACCTCAGAGGAGACCTGGGCAATCACAACACAATCACTGCTAGGTCTCACTCAGAGTGGGCGGGGTCAATTACAGTGTGATAGGCTGCAGATACCCTGCTACCTATGGCTGGAATATATGTGTGGAATTATACCTTTGGTGTTGGGGAGGTCTCTGAGACAAATGGAGGGGCTGGTGGGGGAGAGGGAATGAGACAAATGGAGGGGGAGGGGCAATGAGCAAAATGGGGAGGGGCTGGTGGGAGAGGAATGAGACAAAATGGAGGGGGGGAGATCCTGAGGCAAACGAAGGAGGGGCGATGAGACAAATGGGGAGAGGAATGGGACAAATGGGGAGGGGGTGGGGGAGAGGGAATGAGACAAAATGAGGGGGGGGAGATCTCTGAGGAAAATTAAGGGGAGGGGCTTATGAGACAAATGGGGGAGAGGGAATGGGACAAATGGAGGGGGAGGAATGACAAAATGGGGGGAGTGGCTGGTTGGGGAGGGAATGGGACAAATGGGGAGGGGGCTGGTGGGAGAGGGAATGAGACAAATGGGGGGAGATCTCTGAGGCAAAATGAAGGAGGGGCTGGTGGGAGAGGGAATGAGACAAATGGAGGGGGAGGGGCTGGTGGGGGAGAGGGAATGAGACAAATGAGGGGGGGAGATCTCAGGCAAATGGAGGGGGAGGGGCTGGTGGCAGAGAAGGAATGAGACAAATGGAGGGGGAGGGGCTGGTGGGGGAGAGAGAATGAGACAAATGGTGGGGGAGATCTCTGAGGCAAATGAAGGGGGAGGGGCTGGTGGCGGAGAGGGAATGAGACAAATGGGGGTAGAGGGAATGAACTACCCAATCAGCCAGAGCATTGCTGTTTATTCAGGCCCTTGGCCCATAACCAATGTGCCATCATTCTAATCATTTTTACGAAAGTGCTTGTGTTTCATACAACGTTACACAGAGTGCAACCAATACATGTGTTCCAATCACCAGTTTAATTAGGCATATTTATAAACATAGCCATCTTGCAGATCACCAGTAATTGACACAACCCTGTAGTATGTACTTTCCGTAAGAGTAATAAACAATATAGTACAGTGAAAATGAGCACTTTAGATAAATCTTATATGTGTGTATACATATATAGTGTGTTTAAGTGTGTCACTTATTCTGGGGAAACTCTTCCAAAAGCACTCTTATAACAAAATTAAATCGTTATTGAAAGTGAAGCCCTGCTCTCATTCAGGGTCAGTGGTGTACCTGTTACTCCAGGGGCCCTGGGCTACCACAACTTGTAGCACTGGCCCGGGGCCCACAGTTGTCACTGTCTGACAGGAAGTGCTCGGGGGGGGGGGAGGAATGAGACAAATGAAGGGGCTAGTGGGGAGAGGCAGTGAGGCAAATGGGGGAGAGGGGTAATGAGACATGGATGGGCTTGGGGGGAGAGGGAATGAGACAAATGGAGGGGGTGGGAGGAGAGGGAATGAGACAAGTGGAGGGGCTGGGAAGATTAAGACAAATGGGGGGAGAGGGAATGGAACACATAGGGGGGCGGGGCAATTCTCACCCTGTGGCCCGGTGGCTTCTAGTTACATTTTTGTTTAGGATTATTACTAAATTGAGAATCGTCAGGTATTCAAAGTGAATTCTAAGTGAATTTCAAACTTAAAGGAACACTACAGTGTTAGAAATACAAATATGTATTCATAATACTCTTGTTACCTGTTCATTGTTTAGGTGTCCGCCCTCCCTCCAAGTGCATGCAAAGGTGAACTTTACTTACTTTTTCTCCATCGTTGCTCTGGTTTTGCCACGTATGGTCCTGCCATCATGGCTGTGATTATTAACCTTAACGAGCTCAGCCAATCCAATGCTTTCCCAAATCAAAGCATTGGAAGGCTATTGCAATGTAAGGCAAAACGCCACTCCAAGCCAATCAGCATCTCCTCACATCTCCTTATGCAGAGTGGATACCCTGAACTTACGTGCTGCACACAGTGGAAATAGGAAGCACCTCTAGTAGCCGTCTGAGTGACTGCTACTAGAGATGTTACTAGGCAGCAATGTAAACACAGCCTTTTCTTTGAAAACGCAGCGTTTACATGGAAAAGCTTGCAGGGAAATGCTATAGACACCAAACCACTACATTAAGCAGTAGTGGATCTGGTAACTATAATTTCTCTTTAAGTCCAAAATAGCCAAACTGGAAAAAATCTCCAAATCAGCTATAGTTCCAGTTCGGCTACTTTAGCATTAAATATGAAATTCACTTTGAATTCTTGCCAGTCCTTACTTTTGTGAGAAACCCTGATAATAGATCAAGTGGTTATTCTTAGCAGGGGCATTGCTAGAGTTATAACATACCTGGGGCTTGAGCCCCCACTTTTTTTTTTTGTTAACAAGGCTTTATTGAAGCAAACATATTTTACAAGTACAATTGTGCAATTGGTCTCAGTGCATACAAACAAAGATGCAGTTGAGTAATAGGTATTTAGTATTACATAGAAATAAAAAGGATAAGTATATACGAATGTGTATCTATCATGGCCTACAGAACATCACAGAACATAATGCAGTGATAGTCATACCCTTCAGTGAGAAGCTAAGTGAGGGGACCGCGTCATTGTTATCATGCTTTTTTTTGTTTTTGCACGAGTGGATTTGATTATACAGGAGGTATCTGAATTGTAAATGTTGTGACTGAACTATTAATCTTGTGTATATGCCTTTTGGAAGACCGAGCACCGGGAATTGGGAAGATGGACAGGAGATCCAGGTTGTGGTGAGGATTGGTAGGGTTGCGTTTGTATGCTTCCCCATATCTCTCATAAACTCAATGTTGCTATAGGAAAGGACCCTTGGAGTAGGTCTATGACTATGTCAGTACCAATAATAGCGATTGGCTCCCAAGTATCCTGCTACGCTGTCCGGGCCTGCCCACATCTTCAACATCAGTAGTTAGAAAGAAGAAAATAGGTCAAAAAGCAGTAGGTAGCAGAGTCATATTAGATAGGGGAGCAATGTGGTAAAGGGGGACATAGAGGCAAGCTGTGGGGTGAACCCATTATACAAGACCCCGTGGGTTAGCACCCGGGCCTCCGACATGCACAGCAGCGGCTCTCACCACTTACCCAAACCAGGGTCACCACAGATCCGTGTGTTTTGTGTCTTTCCCTATAAGGAATGCATGCATTGCTGCCGCTGACTGGATTTCTCCTACCCTATCCAACCACTGCTCGATCGTGGGGGTCTTATCTTGTTTCCAGAAGGCAGGTATCAGAGATGTGGCTGCATTTAGGAGGTGACGGTAGATTCATTTTTATATATGGCTAATGGGGTGCTGAAGAACATTTTATATCTCGAAGAATGCGTTCGAAGGGTGCAGTCTCCCCCAGTATATCTGAGACCTTGGATTTGACCAATTCACAGAATGATTTTATTCGGGGACAATCCCACCATAAGTAACTGCTTGTCCCTTCAGAGTCTCCGCATCTCCAGCATGTGTTCAGCACTGTGAGGAACACCTTGTGCAGATATTCTGGCATCCTGTACCATGAGGAGAGGAGTTTGTAGTTCGTTTCCTGGTACCTGGTGCTTACGTAGCTTTTATGGAGTAATATAAGGATCTTCTCCCAATGTGCGTCCGTGATAGTTTTACCCAGGGTGGTTTACTATGAACTTTGAAGGTATGGTTACTCTTGAAATGCCCAAAACAAACTTTGGTGATTCCTCAAAGTAGTCCAGCACAAATTCTACCCTTTAACAACTATAATATATTACTACCAACAGTGATGGAACTAAAGGAGAGAAGGCCCTGGTGCAGGAATTTTTTTGGGCCCCCTTATCGCAAAGGTGGCCAAAAGGTAGATCCCCATCTGTCGTACAACTCAAACAATGTTTGACAGCTGGGGCCCTACCATTTACCCTTGCTTGCAGCGTTGTTTTTAGCACTGAGCAGTGTTTGTGTGTTTTAATGTAAGCATGCTTTTTTATATTGAGTATGTTTGTGTGAATATAGAGGTGTATTTGTATGTAATGTTGGTGTTTCAATGAAAGCATGCATTTATGTGTAGTGTTGGTTTTTGAATGCAGGAGAGTGTTTATATATAATCTTGAGGTGTGTTTGTATGTAGTGTTGGCGTTTGAAAGCTAAGATATATGCACATATACACGTACACTGCCACAAATATTCTCTGCCATTTAGGAGTTAAATCACTTTTGTTTTTGTTACGCAGCCCTAGTTACATCTCCCTTGGCTGTGAGTCACACACAGTCTGCATGAAAAAAAATGGTTTCATCTTCAATCTGATGTAATTTACATTAATAGTGTTTATCTCTTGCTCTGTAAATTTAATTTTAATTACATACAAGAGGCTCATGCAGGGT